TAGAATAGGTAAAACAAACAAGCTTAGCATAGTGCTTAACACAGAGTAAGCTTTTAATAAAAACTGGCTGCTATTATTATTAAATGATTATTTTCTATTTTGTTACCCTTGGCCTTAGGCCCTTGATCTTCCCCTTTCACACTATATTCTTTCCATAAGCAATCCTGTCCACAATGGGTTCCAATTAATATCACAACAATAATGACTCACAAATTCATATTTCAAGTTCAGATGCCGCTTCAGAGCTTCAGACCCAAATATTCAAATACCTCCTTAACATGTCCCCTTGGCCATATCAAAGACAACTCTAACTTCATAAGTCTAATAAGATGGCACTCATGATCTGCCCCCTTGGACAGGTCATCCCTCACTCTTCTTTATCTCCAGCAACACACCAATTGCGAAAGCCAGATTCAGATATAGAATCGTATCCTCTGTAACATCCTTAGGAATTCTCTCATCTCTTTCGAATTCTATCTTCTCTACAAACATACCCCCAAATTAAAATGTATCATCTCTCTCTTGAAAAACCCTCCTAACTAGTCTACTCCCTCCAAACTATTCTCCAAGCATCAACTCTGAGGCCTTCTAATCATTCAAAATACTGCAGGTTAGTTAAAAGTACACTGTAGTCATACCTCCTATACTGCCTTAATATATAGAATTAAACAGACCTGAGATGATTCTAAGACCATGAAGTGAATCTCTCTGCAGGCCTAACATTATTTTCTAGCTGTCTAAAGTTTGGTAAGTTATTTAGCCTCTCCAAGCCTCAATTTCTGTATCTGCAGAATGGAGGCAATAGTACTTGACTTCCTATACTGTTGTCAAGAATACATTAATAAAGGAAATAAAAAGCTTAAAAGCTTAATTCAGTGCTTGCTACTTACTGAGAACTAAATACATGTTAGCTAGTAAACCAAGCTGAGCATAACTTTCCCATTGCCTGAGTTCTGGTCCTCATCTCCTGCACAGCCTATTTTAACATACCCCTAACTGGTCTCACCCACCTCCAAATGCCCACAGCCCAAACAAAGCATACTGCAGGCTTCAAGAAAAGTCAGGTAAATCTGGTCTTCTTTAGTACTTTAGGATTAAAGTAAAGATCAGGTCCAAACCTCTTTGAGTTTGGCATACCATCCAGCCCCTGCTTACCTTCCTCATTTCTTCCAGTCATTTCCCCCAATGTGCATCAGATTCAGACCCATCAGGATACTTGAATTTATTATACTACCACCTCTATTGGGCCAGCTCCTTTCAACCTGATTTTCTTCTGTCTGCGATGCTTATGTCTGCACTAATTATCAAATTACCAGTTATCTAGATTTTAAAGAAGAGGAAACTGTAGCTCAAAGAAGTGAAATGACTGGCCAGGATCACATAGGTGGGTGACTGGCCAAGGCAAGTGTTCCTTTTTTTTTTTTTTTTTAATTTTATTTATTTATTTGAGAGAGAGAGGGAGGGAGGTAGAGCACGAGCACGCACAGGCAGGGGGAGCAGCAGGCAGAGGGAGAGGGAGAAGCAAGCTCCCCGCTGAGCAGGGAGCCTGACAAGGGGCTCGATCCCAGGACCCTGGGATCATGACCTGAGCCGAAAGCAGACCTTTAACCGACTGAGCCACCCAGGCGCCCCTCAAGATAGGTGTTCTCAGCAGTATATTAGCACTTCTCAGACTTTTCCAATGAGCAGTCCTATGGAGAGAAGAATTTAACTCCCATCCTAGAGGTCAAGGAAAGCATAGACCCAAGACTCCAACCAGCTTGGAATACCATGCTTTAACTTCAAATAAAATGAATCATTTTCAAAATCAAAAACTTTGAACAAGTAAAGTTGAGGACATAGAGCTTCTCACATTGAGAGTTCCGTGTTAAACTGAAACTATAAATCCAAATTTGTATGTTCTGTGGCTATAAATCACTCCAAAACCTATGGTCAGCCTTCATTTTCTTCACTATTCAGAAGGATATAATTACAGACAATATCATACAAATGGCTGCAGTTACTATTACTTTCTTACAATAAAATCAAGCATAGAGTGTTTAGGAAGAGGAGAAAGACTGCCCTGAGGACTCTCCCAAAATCCCTAACATAAGAAAGGCTGAAGACAAAAGGAAATCCAGGGACAAACTTGGGAGTTTTCTTAGGAAAACACTCACTTCTGCAGAGTAGGGCTTCTCAACCAGGGCACCAACTGAAAACTTAGGCTAGATCATTCTTTGTTATGGAGAGCTGTCCTGTGCATTGTGGGCTCTTTACGGTCTACCTACTAGATGCCAATAGCATTCCACCCCCAGTTGTGACAAGCAAAAATCTCCAAACTTTGCCAAATGTCCCCCAAGGGTAAAACCACTCCCACTTGAGTACTCCAGAGTGTACAGAGATATACATCTGGTATATCCTTGTACTGAGAAGTAAACATCAGGAGAGCTCAAGCTTCTGATTCTAGACAGGAAAATCGTGGGAGAAAATAAGAGACCTCTCCCTATTTGCACAGGGCACCAGGTAAAAGAAGGAAGTATTTGTGGTTTCTCAATGCTAATTTTCCATAAGGAAGTCAACTGAGTGGGATTTGACTTAAATTCCTTAACAAAAAAATCCAGGTGAGGCTTCAAAAACAACCAGACATTTTAGACTGTATTCTGGGTGCTGCAGGACAAGAGGGAAGAAAAGAATCAGGGCTGAGTTTCTACTTAGATGACAATATTTGGCCTCTAGTCTAACAACATAGTGATAGAAGGAGGCAGCTCAACATGACACCACGCTACTTTGACACTGTATAAATGAACATAACCTCCTCTACTCCAGCAAAAGTCCAACACTAAAGATATACATGTGAACATTCAAACAATCACAAGAAAACAAGAAGTTATTTTACATAAAGGCAGAGCCTTCAACATCTGCAATTCTGAAAGCCTAGCTTTTATGTTTAATAGGATGCAGCTCACCACCCTTGGCAGCTATTCCCTTAGCATTTGTTAATAAGTGAGAAAACAAATGCAGAATCCTGTGGAGGTTACCCAAAGCAAAAGGTTTGGTAGGGGTGGGGTGGAGTTCACATGTGAATACACATGCACACACTTCCATGTTTTTGGTATTTAAGAATATTTTTGTTTTTACCCTTAAAAAAAAAATTCAACTCTGCTTGATATATTTTATTACTACTGCTTTTTAATCTTCTACAATTTTATGTTTTGCCCCAGGAAATTATACTATAAATTTGAAGTAGCCTCCTAAAGATCTAGCTAAAATGAAGAATTAGATAGTTCATGTAAACTATGGAGTGTCATGAGCCTCGGATTTCCCATCCGTAAACTGGCATAAATAAAATTTACTTCTTTTTTTTTTTTTTTTTTTTTAAAGATTTTATTTATTGGGCGCCTGGGTGGCTCAGTTGGTTAAGCGACTGCCTTCGGCTCAGGTCACGATCCTGGAGTCCCTGGATCGAGTCCCGCATCGGGCTCCCTGCTCAGCAGGGGGTCTGCTTCTCCCTCTGTCCTCTTCCCTCTTGTGCTCTCTGTCTCTCATTCTCTCTCTCTCAAATAAATAAATAAAATCTTTAAAAAAAAAAAAAGATTTTTTTTCTACTGTTTTAACTATTCTCCATCAGCTTCTCTGAAACTCCTGTTTCTTCCACAAACTCTGAAAAGAACACGTGTTTTGGAGAAAGAAAATACTTTAGAAGCACATCTTAACATCTATGCAAATACAAGGTAAGTATTATTTGTGATGATAAAGTAGGGTAGGGCAAAAGAAAAATATGTTTGGTGTTTTGTTTGAGAATTCTCCTGTCAATTACAGCTGATTGCCAGCAGCTCACCATATGAAGCCAATGTTCCTTCCCCTGCAAAAAAAAAATTTTTAAGGAAATAAAAAGTAAGAAAAAATGACAGAGGACAGAAGAGAACCAAAACAATAATATGACAGACCGAAAGGAAGGTTACACAAGATAAGTAAATTCTACAATGACAATATTCTCCTAACTCTTCCAATAACAACAGTAAAAGGTCAGATACCTTCCAAAGAAGTTGGGGTTTAGATTTCACTGTATCTAATTAACAGAATTCCACTGGAAACAATTTTTCTTCCCAGTAGCCAAAATCTACTGTCAGGTGAGTTAACACTATACACTCATAAAGTATTGCTACACTATGCTAAACTCTTCCTCTGGAATTACAACTTTTTTTTTTTTTAAGTTTTATTCATTCAACAGCAGCTCCCCTAAAATGAATTTTAAAAGTACTAATAACAAATTCAAAATTCTGGATTTATCTAAGAAAATGTCAATTTCTTCCCCCAGAAACCTACCCAAATAAAAGGCAAAGGTTCTTCAATTCTCATTCTCTGGAGAAAATACCAGGTAGACGGCTGAAATGAAGTTGCTGGGAAATATACTTCCAAACACTTCTTTAAAGAGCCCCCAAAATACATGCCATTAAGAGATCATTCTACCCCTAAAGTAAATCATGAGCATACCCCCCCACAAATGCCCTGCATATTAACAGCTCCACAACAAGACTTCCACAGTTCTTGGCCCTCAATTAGCTCCTGGTAGATCCGGCAGAAAACGTGTATTCCATAGTCACAACCCTTCCAGCAATTACATCAAGGAGGGATAGAGGGCCATGGGGGCTCTAGTCCAACCCCTTCGTTTTAGAAAAGGGCCTGCAGTAAGGAATGAAGTTAACTTTCACAGCCTTCTGATATCAAGGCCCACCCAGAACCGAGAGCTCCAGCTCCCAGGTACAAGCATGAACACATAGCCCGGGAGGGGCCAGAGGGCAAAGGCTCTGAGTCAGACTACCGGCAACCTCACCCATCTCACCCGCCAGCTGTTTGTACGACCCTGAGCACCTAAACTTCGCCTCTCAATTTCCACATCTGCAAAATGGGGGTCAGGACCCCACGACCTGGGGCCGTCGGAAGAGTCAAGGCGCTGGGAACTCGCTCCGAGGCTCCCCCGCTCATCCGCTCCCAGCGCGCCCAGCGCTCGTGGCACCCACCTGCACGTTAGGGAAGGCGGTCTTGAGCAGGTAGAACATCTTGCGGTTGGACAGCACGTCCCCGCTGGTCATCTTGTCCTCGGCTCCCTCGCGCGTCTTCCCCTTGGACTTCTCGTGGAGGACGTTGCTCTCGCGGACGCGCCTCACTTCGTCGCCGCCGCGAACAGCGGCCAACACCGACACGGCCAGCATCTCGCGGAGGTCCACCGTGCCCCCATCGGCCGCGGCTGCGGGCCCCGCCGCCCCGCCGCCGCCTGGCTCGCCGCCGAGGCCGAAGAGGCTGAAGCGGCCGGCCAGAAAGCCCGAGTACAGGTGGTAGAGCACGCCGAGCCCCAGCAGGCAGAACACGGCCACCCCCAGCGGGGACAGGCGGATGCCCATAGGGGCCATGGCGCGGGAGGCCGGGGCTCGGGGCGCCGGCCCTCACAGGCCTCCCCGCGCCCGCCGCCGCCGCCGCCGCGCTCCCGGGCCGGGCGCCGCGCGTCCTACACCGGCGTCCGCTCGCCGGCGCCCGCGCGCCCCATTGCTCCCTCCCGGGAAAGGCCGAGCCGCGCCGAGAAGCCCACCGTCGCCGTGCCGCGCGCCCAACTGCCCCGGGCAGCGCGGTCCCGGCTTTTCAGCCGGCCAGCGGGACTCACTTCCACGTTAGCCAACGGCTACGAGGTGAAAGGGGAGCGTGGGTGTGTATCCGGGTTACGCGAGGGGGGCGGGGCGGGGTGGGGCGATATAGGCTCCGCCCTCGGGGCGGGGTGACCCTGGGGGCGGGGCGGCGGGCGGCGAGCCCGGGGAGCCGCCGGATTGCTCCTCCTCTTTCAGTCAGGATGGAGCAGTGTTCGGGTTTTTGAATCGTTCTTGCTTGTGACGGGGCAATTTTCCATGCAGGGAAGGTGCTGAGTGCCCTGTGCAATTTTAAATTAAATCTCCCTTCGAACGAAGATGTATGGCTGACATAAGTTCTAGCCGTTATTTTAGTCTAGACGTCCCATCACTCTCAAATTATTGACGAACGGAGGAAATTACAAGCCATTTTCAGAGAGATCGGTATCCTTTTTTCTCCGGCGCTTGTGTAGGTAGACAGAGCCTGTAGCTTTAAATCGCTGCTCTGCCCTGGGAGAGGTGGGCAGTGAACGGTGCTAGAGAATTTCACTTGGCTGTTTGGTGTATTGGTCTCTCTGTGGTTATCTAAATGTGCATGCATTTACATCTGTATGTTTATATAGATTTTAACCTATACCTCCATCTGCCAGACTATAAACCATCCTTTATGCGACTGAAAAACATGGCTTGATTCTGGACTTTCATAATGAAAGAAAACGCTCGGAACTTCTCTCATTTCTTTTTTCTCTCTTTCTTTTTTTTTTTTTTAGGATACTTTACACGTACTTTACACGAAGAGGAAAGGTCTGCGAAAGCCCATTTGATACAAAGATTATCACAGGATGGTCAGTCAATCTAGAATACGTAACCTTTGAGTCAATATAGGCCCTCCAAATGTACTTGCAGAAGCCTGTAACAGATATAACTGCCTTCTATGCCACTTAAATTAGCAGTCATAGTGAATACTTACTAAATTTTAGCAAGTATTATAATAAACATTAAGTTTATTTTCCATCACAGTGAATATTAAGATGTGCAGTATCATTCTCAAGTGTTAGAATATTTATATAAAATCAACTTAAAATGCAGACTACTTTACAGTTCATAGCCAAAAGTCAGTGGTTTTAAGTGGGCTTTAATAAACATTAATGACCTTAAAAACTGCAAGTATACAGAATAGATTCTGAACATCCTTTGCTAAGCAAGTCCATAGAGACAGGCTGACCTTCACCACTTCCTTAGAGTTCAGAACATCTGTAGAATTCGTATATGGTTATATAGATGCAATAAACAAAGACTATTGATTGCTTGGTTTCCCTGGCAGCAATCTGTAACTTAAAAATAATCACATCACAAAATCAAGTACAAATACAGATCAATGAAAGAACAGTCTCTGGAGTGTTGACAGAACCAGATCTTAAGGAACTGGCACTGTTCTTGTCAGCTTTTGAGAACAAATTCACAATTAAGCAAAGCTGCTTTCAAAAGAAATCTGAAAGTGAAGGTCACAGGATAATTATGGCTACCAAATCCAGAGATAAATATAAAGATCAGGGTTGAAGTAGAAAGGCTTAAGTTCAACAGAACTACCTCAAACTATACTGAGATCAGCAAAAGATATGGGCTGAGGAGTAGTTGTGAAAATATTAAAAGCATCATTAGAAAGTATGGATGAGGTTTGTAAAAATAAACTGAATAGTATTTTCCAAGGATGTTGGAAAGGACTATCGGGCCCCATTCATTGTGGCATTATAAGAGAGATCCTGAAAGCTCTAGCCATTTATACTACAGGGAAGGGATTAAAGAATCAAAGGAGAAGATGCCGTGAAACAAATGAGTGAGGTTAAAGATCATAGTTCCGACAAATAAATAAATAATAAATATCGTAGTTCCAGAAGGAGCTCTAGTACCCAGGTGACCACAAGGAATAGGTAATAGATATTGATAAAATATAACATGTAATCATTTAGAGAAACTGTGTGATGAAGAGAAAATGTAATTAATTACATGTAGGACAGTCATGTTGTCTTAGAACCTTCACAGGAATTTGATTGCAAGGAACTTGCTTTTTCATTAACAAGTTGTCAGAGGCTCTAAAGAATGCATACATACTGGGGGGCCTGAGTGGTGCAGTTGGTTAAGCATCTGACTTTTGGTTTCTGCTCAGGTCATGATCTCAGGGTCATGAGATCAAGCCCAGCCTCGTGTCGGACTCCCCGCTCAGTACAGAGTCTGCTTGAAGTCTGCTTGAGATTCTCTCTCCCTCTGCCCCTCCTGCTCACTCTCTTTCTCTCTCTCCAAAACAACAACAACAAAAAGAATGCTACATACCAATGAAAATTATATGAAAGTAAATGTAAACTAATAGGTTTGTGAACTGAGGCAAACGACTTTCAAAAATAACCTTTTTTCTAGGTGTTGAAGAAGATGAGGACCACCTATATTCTGTATAAATACTAATAGCAGCAATAACTGACACACAGTAGAAACTTCTTTAACTACTTTCCACTTCACTGGCTTGGCAGACTCCCTGCTTGCCGCCATCTGCGTGTTTACACCTAGTAAATGCCACCTTTTGGAGCACTGTCCCCTTTCACTACCACTACTAGAACTTCAAATACTTCTTAAGAGTTAGTTTTGTTTATTTAAACCTCATTTTGCCATTGTGGTTAAAGTTAAATGTTATGTAAAACAGTTGAATATGAGTATAAATATAAAGCTGAAACCTTTGAATGACTTGATACGGGTGAGTCGTTAAAAACAAAAATTACAATCAAATTAAGTGTTGGAGCAAAAATTATATCCAATTGTGAAGAAAAAGGATCATAAAAGCTCAAACAAATGCTGAAATCAGATTGCTTGACTTGAAGGCAACCAAACTGGTCGTCTTAGATAATGCATTACTCATGTGTTTGAAAGTGCAACTAATGAATATACTCAAAGAAAACCCTTTGCCTTATATTAAAAGATAGACAAATGATTATATATTTAGATATTTACATCTACAACCCACTCTTATCTTGATTATATCAGACAAAGGACCTCCCCTTAAAGTCCGGATGTTGCTACCTTCCTACAAATACCACCTTTCTTTATGCTCTCCATTATGTGTGAAATAAATAATACCCATTTGTAGAACATTATTAAGATCTTAAATGATGAAGATATTTTGATTTGTCGGAATGACTCCTGACCCCAGAGTTAATCTTGGAGAAACCGTGTGTGTGTGTGCGTGTGCGTGTGTGTGCGTGTGTGTGTGTGTGTGTGTGTGTGTGAAATCTCTGCCAGCTAGTTTTCTTGTATGATTTTTCTTTTGAAAGAGCATTTAAGGGGGACAATGAAATTAATGAAGTGTTCAGGCTAGTTGAACCCTAGGGAAAAGTGGTTTTAATACTTTTCTGAGAAAGCAAGAAAAAACAATGAACTGATGGCATTTCCTCATGTTTAAAATATTCCAAGAATATTATTTGTATATTCTTACTTTAAATGATTTGAGCCTATAAAAACAATAATTCTGTTTTGTAATAGACCCAGTGATATGGTGCTTGGTTCTGCCATTGAAGTTCTCTCTTTAGCTGATCATACAATTCTTGGGACAATGGCTTTCATATGTTAAGATTTCCAATTCCTGGGCACCTGCGTGGCTCATTTGGTTAAGTGACTGCCTTCGGCTTAGGGCATGATCCTGGAACACGGGATCAAGTCCCACATCGGGCTCCCTCCTTGGCAGGGACTCTGCTTTTCCCTCTTGTGATCTCTCTCTCACTCTCTCTCTCAAATAAATAAAATAAAATCTTAAAAAAAAAAGATTTCATATGCCTGTTTCTAAAACATGATCTATATCCATTCTTAAAATTGATTTTCCCAAAGATTTAGAAATACTCAATTTAAATGGGTAAATTTTTCAATTAATATAAAATAACGTGTTAGCACTGTAACCTTCTACTGTGGCTCTGATCTTAGCAATAATAACAGCAAATATTTATTTTAAATAGAGGCAACATGGTAGGTATATAAAATAGAAAATTACATATAATTTCTACCCTTTGAAATTGTAATCACTCTAATCCATATGATCCACATGAAGTCAGGTTGGTATTTTACATATCTTTCTAGCCTCTTGACCTTTTGCATATATGAATGACTTCAGTAGGTATTTATGAAAGTGGACTTTTAAAAACTAGTTGGTTTTTTTAAAAGATTTTATTTATTTATTTGACAGAGAGAGACACAGCGAGAGAGGGAACACAAGCAGGGGGAGTGGGAGAGGGAGAAGCAGGCTTCCCGCGGAGCAGGGAGCCTGATGCGGGGCTCGATCCCAGGACTCTGGGATCATGATCTGAACCGAAGGCAGACACTCAACGACTGAGCCACCCAGGCGCCCCTAAAAACTAGTTTTAATGAAATTTTGTCTATTGTGTAAAGTGTTTTTAAAAATCTTGAATTTAACAAATACATTAAAGAACATTCATTTTGTCTGTCCAGAACTTTCATTTCATAGGCATACAAGTCAGATGAAATAAATATTTGCTTTGGAGCTGTTAAGATGTCAAACATTTGTTAATTTTTGTGTGTGCTCCTTATTAAATCCAATGCTTGGCAATCATCAATTCAGTTAGTAATGTAAATTTTCCCATACTATATTTTATTCCCTGAGTGGTCCAAACTCATACTACACATTTTGCCCGCTATCTACCTGCAACTGGAGGTAAAATTTATCTTCTTAAAACTCCATTTAGTTAAAAAAAAAAAAAAAAAGCCCACAATATAGTATCTAAAATTTCCTTGTCTCCAAAAATAGCAATTGAGTGTGTTTATCAATCACGATTAGAATATGTAGTTTATGGCATTGTGTTTATGATTTGTATTACAGAAGAACCCCAACATAATACATATTGCTATTGCACAGTTCTTGGTAAAGTGCAAGCCAAGTCATGTCTCCCAGAATGTAAGAACTCAGTATATTTAATAATATCTTAGCCAATGTGTCTCAAACTTACTGTCAATGAAAAAAAGGTGAAAAAAAATGTTTTTAAAGAAAAGTTTCCCTAAACAATGCTTACCCTACTACATGA